TCAATAAAACGGGACCTAATTTATGTTCCGGAATACTAATTTCTTCCACTACAGCTGCACCATATTCAATTAACCTTTTGGCAGTAGTCCGAACTAGCTCATTGACATCCGTTTCTGCATTAGGTAGTTCAAAACCTTCGCGAACCAAACCGATCTTGAGTCCTTTAATACCAAGTTTGATGGCTTCCAGATAATTTGTCTTTTCTAATGTATAATCCTTTGGATAGGGTCTGGATCGAGGATCGAATCCATCGTATCCTTGAATAACTTGCAATAATTTACAGTTATCAATCACATTTTTTGTACAAGGCCCCACATGATCCACAGTACTTTCTAATGACATAATTCCTGTATAGGGCACTAATCCGTGTGTGGGCTTCATCCCATAGCAACCGCACCAACTGGCTGGAATTCGAATACTTCCACCTTGATCACAAGCGATGGCCATATCGACTTGAGCTGCTGGATCTCCTAATAGAACAGCAGAGCCAGAGCTAGAACCTCCACTCATGTAACCTGGAGCATGTGGATTTTGTACATAACCAGATTTATTGGTATGGGAGCCGCCTGAGAAGCACATGTACTCGCAGTTGGCTTTCCCGACAATGATGGCACCAGCTTTCAATAATCTTGTAACAATAGTGGCATCTTCATCGCAAATATATCCTTCCATAAAACCGGTCCCATTAAGCATGGGAACATCTTTCAAGCAAATATTATCTTTCAATGCAATTCGTTTGTTTAATAAGGGTAATTCTGGAGTGTCCGAATCTACATTGGCTAGCTCAGGATACAAGGTGATATGAGTGCGAACGAACCAGGCATTATTTTTATTCTCCTCCACCGACGGAATCGTATATTTCCGATTGTTATAATTTGGATCAGTGGAACAAGGAAGTTTGGTTTGATACGTATCAGGTAGTTTTGCAAGCACATCAAATGCAGCCAAATTATTAACTAACAACTTCGACCAAACAGTGATTTCCTCATCACTTTGAAATGTAATTCCAATTTGTGCAGCCAATGATTTTAAATCTTCACTATTGGGCTTCCGAATTTCACTTGATTCATTCATTCAAAGTTTGACTAGAAAGGCCTAAAAAGGAAAGAAATTATATGACGGAATATCTGGCTTTCAGGCAATTCGAGCAACAGCCCAGCTTGCGAGTGGGTACAACACTTAAAATAGTATTTGTGCATTATTAGAAAACCGGCTATGATAACTGGTGTTGAAACGCGGTTAGATTTCCCGGATTCTGATCAGGTGCTTAAGATAAACAATTACTCAGTATTTCGCAGAGACAGAAACAAGCGTGAAGGTGGTTGTATTGTGTATGATAACGACGATATTGAAGCTGAACGTCTTTTGCAATATGAAAATTCTGCTTTTGAAATTTTGTTTCTTAAAATCACTTTTTCATCAAGCAAATCGTATATTATCGCTACTTGTTGTGTTGACAGAACCGCCTCAACTTGCTTTTGCAAAGTCAGAAACAGCATCGAAATTATTTTCTTTCACCACTCACCCATCTGGAAACCTTTTAAATGGTTTAAATGCATTCATTTTTTTTATTAAACTTTCTTATACAATCATCGCACGAGATTTTATCTCTGCCTTTCATTGTAACAGATTTATACGGCACAAAACTGTTTACCTGTTTCATCTGGAAAAGAGCACATCTTTTCAAAGAAAATTACACAGAATTCTGTTTTTCCCAAGATTTTATTCTCAGTAAATTTAACCCACCAATACCATCCGGATCGTGGCTCAGAAAAGCACAAAACTTTGTTGAGAAAATTCTTTCTTCAATGTCTATATATCGTACTGAGTGTAATAAATGCTTAGTTTAACGGAATAGCTTTAAGGAAAGTTGAGTTTTATGTTTCCTAATAATTTTACAATCTTAAATTAGAGTTTTATCA